CGTCCGCCCAAACACGCCGTGGGAGCTTTATAATGTGACTGTCAAGCTCATTATTCGTTGGTAAAAAGAGTTGCTCAAGAGTTGGCGGTGTTGATGACTAGCTGCATTCCTTACACTGTTAAATTAGTGTGGCTAGCGCAAATATCCCCCGTGCAACTTCGCGCGAAACTCAACACAAACACACAACTTTTAGACGGCTTTTTTAAATGAACTCTGTATAAATAGTATTTATTTCATTCATAACATATGGTAAAGATTGTACAGTGTCTGATCGAAAATAAACTTTTACAATGAAGGGAGAGACTCATAAATTCAGCACTGATTAATATAGTTATTTTATTCAAGAAATTCGATTTTCAATTAATTGATACAAAACGATTTTGTTTTTGTTTCTGATATATTGACTAAGATAATATTATCTGAAAAAAAAAACAATATGCCGCGTTAGACGTACACAAAATCATGGTAAGGAACATACACCAAAATAATGTATTCAGACATCCGTACACAATTAATTTGCCTTATCTGGAAAGGGAAGCTAACACGAGAATATCGTATAATATAATATGATTATATAGTTACCAAGGGGTACACAGACAAGTTTTATTCTTCTCATTGTAAAACTGGTAGATTAATTCTGCTAACTCCGCGTATTAAATCACAATATAGTGAACAACGTTTTTACTTGTTTTTTGTTTTTTCTCGGTGTCATTTGTAGAGAATGATAATTCTTTGTTGGTTAATTCTGTGCGTTCGTTTGTAGTAAGCAGTATTTTTACTTGACAGTTTCTACGTGTTCTTTGTATAGGATGATAATTCCTAGTTTGTTAATTCTGCGTGGTAAACAATAATTTTTACTTGGTTTATTCTCCTTGTTCTTTGTAGTGAACGGTATTTTAACTTGATCATTTATGTGTGTTCATTGAACTTTATAAAATATTTTTATGTTTAGCTCTGTGAACTCACTGGAATGATTTAACTTTTTATTTGTTTAGTTAAGCGTGGTCATCATTTAGTTCAATGTGATTTTTTCTTAGTTAACCGTGTGTGTGTTCATACAGTTGAAAAAATAATTATTCATATTTATAATCCCATTGAATGGGATTTTTAGTTGTACTGTAATGAAAATCTGTTTACCTGGTTAGCTCTAAGTATTTACAGTGGTGCATGACATTTTTACTTTTCCGTATGCTCACTGTAGTAAAAGACATTTTGCTCCGGTAGGTGCTTTCATACATGTTTGTTCCTAATCTTTAAATATTATATTAGATATAAACATAAATAAAAACACTAAAGAGATTGGGAAACAGTTCGTTAAACAAGTGAAATTACTCAAAATTTCAAGCATTAGTTTCGTAAAAAAATATAGTGACATAAACAAACAATATGTTGCTAATTACTTTTGGTTTAGTCTAGTTGTTATGGTTATTTATATCTCTAAATATATCAATTATTAAAATTAAAAGAATGAAAGCATGGTTATCCATAAATGTTAAAATAAGTGTAATACTAAGTCCTAAGGTGTGGAAAGTTTCATGAAAGCTATGTAGGGCTTGAGGAGATTAAATTCGGGCTTATAGTAACGGTTAACTTGTTAAGAATAGACACAATAGGTATCACATTTTACTGCCGACATATGAATGCCGCGACATTTTACTGCTGTGGTAAATGACTGCTGGTACATTTTACAGCCGTAGTAAATGACTGCTGGTACATTTTACTGCCGTGGTAAATGACTACTGGTACATTTTACTGCTGTGGTAAATGACTGCTGGTACATTTTACTGCTGTGGTAAATGACTGCTGGTACATTTTACTGCCGTGCTAAATTACTGCTGGTACATTTTACTGCCATGGTAAATGACTGCTGGTACATTTTACTGCCGTGGTCAATGACTGCTGGTACATTTTACTGCCGTGATAAATGACTGCTGGTACATTTTACTGCCGTGGTAAATGACTGCTGGTACATTTTACTGCCGTGGTAAATGACAGCTGGTACA